CTTTACCTGCCGAGCCTAGAAATAGTTCCCTTTTAAATTAATATTACTGTGTGTTATGCCATTCTGAACGACATTCACTGAGGCAAAGGATTCCCTCCGGTGTTGAGATACTCTGTGCCGGCTGTTTTTCTCTCCAACCCCAGCAGTGCTTCTGATTATATTTGCAAGTACGGTGACCCTGGTCAGGTGACCCCACTTCCTGAATTCTAAGACATGTGGGAAACTGAGGAAGAAGAAAGGAAGGAAGGAAGAGAAGAAATTAAGGAAATGATTTTTAAAAATCTTTTAAAATAATAGATAAAAGGAAATCAAAGAAAGCCCGCTGAACTCTTCTGTTATTCTTTCAAGTGCCTTAATTATTCCCACCCCCAGCAAGAAACGATCACCTCTTCATCTTGTTTTCCAAAGTTATCATGCCTGCAAATGTCCAGCCCACAAGATTGGCCTTGGCCCCAGCTGCCTGTCATGTAGATTAAGCCCATGGACTGCCTGCCTGCACATCTAACTCAGAGCACAGCCTCATCTGGCCGAGGCTGTCACATTCTGAGTCCCTCCACAGCCCTCTTCCCATTCCCAAGAGAACCAATCAAAGGCAGAGAGTCAGAGTCAGCAACCTCTTTGGCTTCCTGGTCCTCTGCTGGGCTCATCTGTTCCCGAGGAGGATGTCTAATGTGATCTCAGAGATAGGTAAAGTAGAGTCTAAGGCAGTGGGTTGTGTGGGGGGGTGGGTGAGGGCGGGTAGTGTGAGGGAACTGTAATAATAAAGAGAAAAGACAGGGAATTTTGTTACCATTTAAGTGGACCAACAGTAACTGCTTCCCAGACCTACCCCCAGGTTGTAACTATTTATCTTAGGTATTATTGTGATCCATCAGAACTTCACTCCAGTACCAGGATCCTAATGGCAGCACAGCTTCTGGAAGGCCCAGGTCAGAGCACCAAGTCTGATCCTCATCCTGACTTTTATCCCCATAAAGATTCTTTCAGCTGTTTGCTTGTGTGTGTGTGTGTGTGTGTGTGTGTGTGTGTGTACTTGTCTATACACATACATAGAGGCCGGAGGTCTACCTTGGATGTCATTCCTCTTTAGCAGTGGTCCACTTTGTTTTTTGAGGCAGGATTTCTCACTAGGACCTGGGGTCTCCTGATAGGCTAGGTTTGATGTCCATCAAGTCTCAGGATCTGCATGTCTCCATCTCCCCAGCTCTGGGATTATAAGAGCATCCACTATGCCCAGCTTCTGGTGTGGGTGCTGGGGCTCACACTCAAGTCCTCACATGTGTACTGTGCACACTTGATTCACTCAGCATCTTCCAGTCACTTCTTTCTTTCTTTTGGGATGGTATCTCATGGTGTATACCTGACTGGCCTGGTACTAACTGTGAAACCTAGGGTGGTCTTGAGCTTTTGGCAATCCTCCTGCCTTAGCTTTCTGAGTGTTGGGATTACAGTGTGCACCACCACATTCAGCTCTCTTGAATTCTGATCGTCCCTCGTATATTTTCAGCCTGGACCTCAGTGAGAGCCTGCTATGGGAATGTTTTCTGATATGTTGTTTCCAATAACAGAGAATTTAGGAGTGTGAGCTGGAAAGGGAGATCATCGAAAGTTCATGCTTGTGAGTGTGTGTACAATAGTGCCCTCCTAAGTCGAAGGGTTAGCTAATCAGTAATAGTAAGAATTCTGGCAGGTGTTGGAAACCCTGCACTCGAAGGCCAACAGAAGAGATGGAGGGATGTGCCCACATTAGCATTTTGTGCTGTCTCCACCTTTGAGGTGGCGTGATGCAAAGTGTTGCTTTCTGGGACCTTGAACAGCACATGGCGAGGCCAGTTTTGGGCACTGGCTATGCACATCATCTCTCCTTCCACATCCCTTAATGAAGTGTGCCGCGCTCATCCTCATTAGGCCTTAGCACAGTCAATAAGAGAGTCAATAAACCTGGCTGTCGGGGTTGGGGTGGAGAGGCTGAGATGTGGCATGGCCCATCCACAGGGCGGACGTCAGCACTGCCATGTGTCGTGACCCAGTGTTCAGGGATCAATAACAGGCTGAGGAGAAAGCCTCAGAGCCTGCCCTTGGCAGTCTCCTCCCAGACCCACCGAGCCCAGTGTGGAATAGTGCCAGCCAGCTTTGCCTGCAGTTGTTTGGGACCCCATGACATTTTAGGTGCCAGATGCTTTTGCTTTTTTGTTTTTTGTTTGTTTGTTTGTTTGCTTTTTTTCTGATGGAGCCCTCTGGACATCCTGTGGATTCATACTTAGTGAGTGCCCACCTGGCAAGGGGACATGCAGACAGCATCCCCAAGTAGCCCAGAGGCCAACATGGACTCCATTCTCTTCGTCTTCTATCTGCTGACGGCGTGTGAGGAGTCCCAGTGGACAGGGCATGCGTCTTCCGCATGCTGTGTGGCTGGACTCCATTTCTGGCTGCTCTGCCTCTCACTCGATACCCTTATCTTATCTAATTACAAGGAATTTCAGATGAATTTCGTGGCCTCTGCTCCCTGGGACCTCTTATCTGTGAGGGCCTTGTATTTTAACCTTGTCATTCTTTTGTTGCTCGCCTTGAGGGGGTGATGGCTAGAAGGGAAGGATGTTGGAATTGGGGTGGGGGAGGGGAGGAAGAGGAAGGCAGACAGATCTGGACCGCTGCCTGTGTGTGGAGACAGCTGGCTGCTCTCTTCCATGACAGCCACATGGTACCCAGCCACACAGAACAGGACCCGGGCAGGGACTCGCCTGCTGCCAACCTCTCCAGATCGCTCTGATATTTCCGACAGAGCAGTAAAGGACTCTTGACTATCACGATTTTTTTTTTTTTTTTTTTTTTTTTTTTTTTTTTTTTTTTTGCTTTGCCTCTCTCCCCCTCCTGTAAGACTCCTCCATGCCGTTTCCATGGCTACCCCCAATCAGATTTGGCTTCCTGCGAAATTGGATTTCAAAGAAGGACAAGGCTTCAAAGGAATTTGTCCATTTAACAGAATGTCATTAGGAGTGAGGCTGACTGCTGAACCAGGGTCCTCAGATGATTAAGGAGGGGCAGCACTCATGTGTGGAGGCAGGCCTCTGTCTGCAAGGGGGCGCCTTGATGCAGCATGACAATGGTGTATTGGAAACTGCCAGTCACCACCACACATACCTGACTTCCACCCACCCCCCATCTCCGTCACTCTAAAACCCAGAGATCCACAGGGGGAGGAATGCACGGAGAGCACCTACCCTGTGAATTTTTGCTTCTCCCTAGGTGGGAGTGAGTTAAGACAGGCGGCATGGCCTGGGCTTCTGCCCTTTGTCAGATAACTCATGAGCTCCTGGCCTCCGTGACTCTGCTGCCAATGTCTTTAAATAGGGGGGGGGGCACTCTGGGTTCTCTTCAGATCCTAGAAATACTCAGCCTTTTACTAAAAAAAGGGGGAAGGGCTGTCCTTTCTCCATTGTTGGAAGAGAAACTGAGGAAGTCTGGGTGACACAGAGGGAAGACTAACCCTCTCCCCTTTTGAAAACCAGTTTTATGTTTATCAGGAGTCTGAGAGTAGTTCAGAGGACGCCCGCACAGCCTCTGCTTTTAAACACGCGCATACCCGCAGATAATTCTAGAGCAGCTTCAGTTGTATCAGGGGGCACAGCAAGGTGGGGAAAACTGCGCCAGGGGCATCGGTCACATCTGGAGCCTGGAAGAGGCGGCTGATCCCACCGCTCTATTTCACCAGGTAAAGGGCGGCACCAAAGAGTCAGGTCCTCTGACGACCTTGACCAGCCTCTATCTCAATTCAACTTGTTGCAGCTTATAGGTGGATCATGAGGCCCTGAAACCAGGGTACCATTCCTTTCTTGGGTGTCAGGATCTGATAAAACAAAACAAGACACCAAAAAACCCGCCACCAAATGCCTTAAAAGTGAAGTCCCTAACCTTGAGATTGCCTCTTCATGGGGTGTGTACGGGCGGGCGCCTGGACTAGGAGACATGTGCTTTTTGCCTTGTGCAAAAGTTTCTTCTTTCTGCTCTGGCTTCTTCTCATACATTGAAATCAGCATCACCCTCACCCCCCAGGCTGATACCCGGTCACCACTCCTAACCCTTCCTACACAGTCTGAGAACAGAACTAACTCCCCCCCCCCCACACACTCTGGAGATGGTAGAGGTGAAGAAAGATATAGAGACCACATGTTAGATCATTTTCACCTACCAAGCCCCCCCCCCCTTCAAAGTCGGGTCTGGCACTTGGAGCCTGCATCGAATGACGCCAAGTGTCCCACAGGCACTTCCACCTTTTCTTCCCATTTATGCCGTTTCTTAAAACTTCCACGCCACTCTGTTTTCTTCATGGCCCGTTGTGAAAAACAAACAAACCAACCCAAGCAATCAATGTTGGAGTAATTTTGCACTCACAGGCAGTTGTAAGAAATAACACAGAGGGTCGGTCCCATGAACCTTTGCGCAAGTTCACGGTGTAGTAACATCTTCAGTACCTACCTGCAACCCAGACTTGGGCACTGTCTGTACTTTGAAAGGGAGCAGGCACAGCCCTGCGGTCTTGTGGATCACTTTTTCTTCTGCTCTGAGAGAAAGAATTGTTTCCCATCTCTCTTCTCACAGACCTGCGGGGGTGGGGTGGGGTGGCACTTTGTCTCTCTGTGTGTATTGCCCTCTGATGCTGATTCTGCTAAATGTTGGGGTTCTGCATTATCACCGGGGGTTCTGAGTAACCAGTACGGTTTCCCCTGGACAGCGAGCTGGATCAGCAATCGAGGCACGAGATCTTGGGCGGGGACTAAGTTCTTTTTTGGACTCTGCCTCTGCACCCCAGTTCAGGAACCACTGTGGCCTTTAAACCTGCCGCCCCGAGGTCACATTGCCTAGTCCTTAGCAAGACCGCTGGTTCTTTGGAGTCTAGGAAATCTTTTGGTGCGGGGAGCAAAGGGCCACGCCTTTGACCTTGCGTGCTACCTCTGTCAGGGCGCGAGCCCTGGCGTGCACCTGCGCCCAGGGTCCCCGCGCCCGCAGCCCGCTGCGCGCGCCGCTTCCTGAGCGCGCGGCCGGCGGACCCGCCCTGCTGCTGGGCCCCGAGGCGACAGCCGAGGTACAGGTGCCCCGGGTGCAGATCGACTCCCTCTACCCGCCGCCGCCGTCGTCGGAGCAGGCCTCGCGTCCCTTGTCCCTTCTTCTGCTGCGGCCGCCCTCCCGCCGCGCCAAATGCAGGCTGTCGCCCTCCCCGAGGAGATCCGTTGGCTCCTGGAAGGTAACTCCTGGCATGGTGCCAGACCTCCGTCCTGACCCCTCCCGGAAGTCCCTTCAGTGCTGGGCTGAAGGCGAGAAAGGAGACACCAGGGCACTAGCCCTTCAGCTCTATCACTCACCTAATACAAGCTCCAGGCTTCCAGAGTCCTCGATCTCACCCTTGTCCCCAAAGCCAGTCTCCCATCCTCCCACCTCAGGGTGCCTACCACTCCCTTGAGTTACACACTTTCTGTTCCTTCTAGGCATCTGCATCACTGGGCATCACTCCCAGGTTTCTAAGGTCTTGTGAGCAAGGTTCATGGCATCCCCTGACTGCTTGCCTGGTTTTAAACCTGTTTCCCAAGGAATCCCTGAGGCCTGCAGCATACCGATTACCCTTCATCCTCCCCGGTCCTGACTCTTCACCTCATAGAAGACCCACACCTTTCTGGGTAGAGATCTACCAGGCACACAATGGGGCTCTGTGGAAATTTACGGGTCTTTGGGCCAAACTTGGTGGTTAGGAGACTTCTTACAGGTGTAGAAACCCAAGGCCTCCTTTACCAGCCTGCAGACTTGGAGGACTGTTGTCTGATCCAAGGGAAGCCTCAGAGTATGACATCCCTTCCCTTTCTACAAGTGTCCCCTTGTGATGGCTTCACCTTCAAACTATGGTGTCTAAACAGTCCTTTAGAGTTAAGGTCACACACTCTCTGACACTCAACATGCACTCCTGGCACTCCAGAGAGACTTCCCTGATGGGCAATATCTTGTGCTTGGCTCCTGCGGTGAAAATCAGTTTCACTTGCTTTCCTGTGACTGACCTTCTTGGGAGGATGGAGGCCTGGAATCTGCAGTTGCTTAAGGGTCTCAAGAGGGAACCGCTCAGAATTAAGCCTTTTGGCATCCAGGCGACATATTTGACACATAGTTAACAGATGGCCTGCTTTGGGCAGGTCATGATTTTGGCAAGCTGCGTTCTTTTCAGTTTCTCTCAATTTAATTGGTTTTATATCTCCATTACCTTGTTATCTTGGTATAAACGCTTCCTAATCAAGGATTTGGCGAGTGCTTTTGGTTTCTGTTTGTAGCACTGTTTCTATTCTGGATTGCTTCTCCATTAGAGCTGTCAGTGGGCATTTCTTTTGAGGCGATGTTTCAAAAATCTATTTTTTTTAAAGAAAAAAGCTATTTATTTATTTTTTGAGTGTATATATATATGGATGTGCATGTGCCACAGCATGTTTGTGGGGTTCCGATGGTAACTGTTGGGAGATGGCTCGATCCTTCTACCCTCTGGGTGTTGGGGATCAAACTCAGGCCTTCAGGCTTGGCAGCAAGCTCTATCCACTGAGTCGTCCTAGGGAGTTGAACATAACATGCTCGTCAAATGCTCTACTACTGAGCTACATTCTCTAAACCATCTAAAATCCGCTTAGCTTGTGAACCAAGTGAAATCTGAACTGTACTAATAAAAAGTGATTGGAGGATAGAAGAAATCACCTGGGCACCACCTAGATGAGCTTGGTTCAATATCAGATACATAAAGGCACGCTGTAATTGTCTTTGGTTTTTAGACAAGGAACTGTGGCCACGAGTTTAATTCTACCCTTGGATTTAAAGACAGGGTGTTTCTTTTTATTGATGTCAGTCATTTTATGAGAAGAAACCCATTTTACAAGCTTGTTAAATGATGCTTCGGTTTCGTGCACAGCCTTGGTAGAAAACCCCCTCTTATTTTCAGAGGCTTTGCGACGCGATCCACTCCTCTGACATTTTTGACGCACAGTTCTTTATTGTTCAGAACTGACACTTTGGTAAACAACTCATTTTTGTACCTGCCACCTTCCTTTAGCTCAGATTATTTTCTTGTTAGCTGACCATTTTTAATTGAAGTCTTCAGATCTCCCTCTAAAGCAGAAGCTTTGTTTGCTGACAAGCAGAGCAGGGTATGAATGGAGATTAATTGCATGTCACATACTTCAGTATCAAACTTGCTGTCTTAACAATCCCTGATAGTGCTCGGGTCTTTGGAATATATAGAGGAGTCCGAGGTTGCATTTTGAGGAGCTTCACTGGTTATTTCTTTAAAGCCATTTTACCTTTTTTTTTTTTTTTAAGCTTGTAATTATCATCTTGAATCTGAAGTGGGGGAAAATGTAGCGCGGGATACGACTGACGATTCTAATGAAAAATGGTGGAAGAGCATGTTTTTGAAAGGTTTGTGTGATAATAGCAACATATTGGTTATAGGTTTTTATTTTATTATTATTTTTTTAATGGATCGCAGTCTCTAGTGTAGACCAGCAAATGATTTGCTGTGTTACAAACAATTTGTGGATATTAGAAATCCAAAAGGGTCATCAATTGCCTGTCTGTGTCTGGTTACACCTCTCCTCCCACCACGCACCTTCTAAGGTTAACCGTTAACAATTAGAAAATATGTAGGTCCTGATCTCTGTAGAGTCGCTCAGTGGGAGGGAGTCACAGGATGTGAGAGCTGAGACCACCACCACCCAGCACGGGGGTGGAGTTTCCACAGTGAATTACTGCTTTCATAAACGGAGTCATAAGCATTTGCACAGTGATTTAATGCCGGCCATCACGGCCATAACTTAAACATTTATTTATTTATCACAACAGGAGCATAAAATGACAGGGGCATCCTTTGATATAATGTGTGTGCCTTAAAAAATAAAATATGCAAAGCACTGTGGAATGTTTATACCAAAAATTGTGCATAATGAGGGTCTAAAATTAATTTTAAGTATAAAAATTTAAACATTTGAAGATGTCTCATTTGACATGGAAATCCCACTTCTAGGAATCTGTTAGAGAAATTAAAAACATGAAATATGTATACAAAAGTTTACCCCAGATGCCGATAAGGTGGAGGAAGCAGGTGACGGTTGAATGAACCATGGGGCATCCATCTTAGTTTGCACCCATTACAAAAAGTGCAGGAGATCTGTCTGTGTGTCTGTCTGTCACTTGTCTATCTTAGTTGCAAAGTGTCCATTTCATGTTTTTAAGACTAAAAGAGTGAAATACACATCAGTATGTATAATGGCCCATTTTTACTTGAAAACAAAAAGCCAAAAAATATTGCGTACATCAGATATGTTTGTGTAAGCTTCAGAGAAAGTGCAAAGAGGGGTATCCCAAGCTCTTAAGTTTCCTTTTTAGGGATAGCGAGTGTGGCGAAGGTTGATGATTTTTATTACATATACCTTCATGTTGATTGAATTGTGACAAAGTTATTCATTACTTTTGTAATCAGGAAATAATAGTCAGGTTATTAAAAAAAGAAGAAGAAGAAGATAAGAGAAGGAAAAAAAAAGAACAGATAAACAGAAGTCCTGAGAGGTGGGTTTAAAGGGCCATTAACTACAGGTGTGGTTGTTGTTTTTCCTGTTTAGCTATGGGAAGGTGAGTGGAACGTGAAAAACAAACAATCAAAAAACAACTTCTCTGTTGGTTTTCTGGCAAATGACAAAGGGCAGAGAAGTTTCTAGTAACCCAGGAAACAGCGTCTTCCAATCCAGCCCTGTCGAGCTGCAGGGACAGAAACTGGTCCCGTATCAGTGAATAAAGCAGGCACAGATAAGGAAACAGGGCATCTTCCGCGTTATTGAAAGAGGAGGAAATATTCACGTCTGTTCTCAAGTAGTCAGGCTTCAGATGTAGAAGTTATCTCTCCGCTTTTGTTTTTCGATAACCATGCTGAAAACAAAAAACAATGGAATGCTGGCAGTTTGCTAATCTTTGTTGCACAGATACAAACATAGTATCCTCTTCCTGGTCTTTCTAGCCACGCCCCCCTCCGTTGTGTGTGTTTCTGTTTCTGTCTCTGTCTCTCATTCTAAGCGAGAAGGAGGTGCAACAGATACTCACTCGGTTTATAAGGCAACTTGCTGACCTCACCTTGATAGCTGATAGACCAAACTGCCTATGTGGTGCCTCCATGATGTGGCTTGGAACATGGACTGACCCGAAACATCACTGTATGCTGCAGTGAGCGCTCCCTGGCACCGACGCTCGTAGCCCAATGGTTACTTACTTTTTAAACTTCAATAGTCGTTAGCCATTACCTTCCAGATAGTTCTCCAGATCTGGATTGGTAGAGACCGATGAAAGTGGAAAATCCCTTTCAGTACAGCAAAGCTCTGACTACCAGGAACCTGAAGTGGTATGTTGCTCTGGATAGCGAAGGTTCCTTCAAACAGTCTAACTTGAGAACATTTTGGATGAATTCTTTTAAAACATGAATTAGGAACTTTCCCCATTTCTTCAAATGAATCTCTTTGAAATACGTTTAAACTCAGCCTTATGATAGTGGGTGTCTGTTGTTCAAAGCTGTTTCTGCCATGGTTATTCCTGGGTTGCCTCGGGAGGGCCCATGTCTGGTTTGTTCGTTTATATGGAGCTGGGGACTGACCCAAGCCTCAGCGGGCTAGTCCAGGATCTGTCTCTGAGCACACTCCAGCTGCTTTGTGTTCTTTGTTCATGCCTTTTATTACCAACTTAGTGATGCTGAGGCCTGTCCCTATCCAGTTGGCTAGATCTGTATCTTCAGTGCTTCTGGAACATTAGAGAATCAAGTATTTTGGAGCTCTGTGAAAAAGTAGATATGAAGGGCATCTTTGGTCTGGAGGTGGAGTTCACTGGTATAGTGCTTAGCTGATAATTCAAAGACCTTGGTTCAATTCCCAGTACTGTGTGTGTGTGTGTGTGTGTGTGTGTGTGTGTGTGTGTGTGAGAGAGAGAGAGAGAGAGAGAGAGAGAGAGAGAGAGGGAGGGAGGGAGGGAGGGAGGGAGAGGGAGGGGGGAGACAGACAGACAGACAGACATATGTATGGACGTACGTTGTATGTGCTGGCGTGAGAGGTTTTTTCCTGTGGGTTCCAAGTGACTGAAGTTAGGTCATAAGCCTTGGGAGCAAGCACCTTTGCCCTCAAAGCTCTCTCAACAGCCGGAAGTGGCTCTTTTGGTAAACAAGCCCAGGCTCTCAGGTGTGGGCTT